CTCCTTTATCCAGCATAAAGGTTGCACAAATTACCTTCCGAGTTTCCGGGTACTCAATAAGTTCGAAAATTCGTTCCTGCTTGCAAATCCACTCATCTGCTGCTGGTGGATCTGTGCCTCCTTCAAAGCTAGGAGATTACAACTTGCGATATTGCTCCACTATTGCAGTCACGCTCCTCTCTGCAGGCGGTTGTGCAACAAGTGGTGCGGCGGGTGGTGCCATGTTACGTATCGCTTCTAGAAATTACATAAATTGGTTGTTTTGGTTGTTGCTGTTGTCGTTGTTCGACTCAGTATCTTCGGCCTGGGGTTGCCCATTCTTATTATTCGAGTTTCCAGAGCGAGTTGCCATAATCTTAATAAAATGTAAAGATAGAATTACTTAACCATTAGATGAAAATAATAATAATACATATAGTAAAATTTCAGTCATTCAATTTCTATAACTTGCATAAATCAAATGGGATTCATGGTATTCAATACATCCACTTATTTAAATATAAATTTCTTCAAAAGGATAGGCATATATAATTTCCTGTCATCTAAAAATTCTTCCTAACGCTTTCATCTTGGTCTGCCACTGGATTCTCCCCAGGATTTGGCTCATGGTTCTCCTCAAAATATAATGTATGATGGTACTCGGGGCTCTCCTTAGGGTCTTCTTCTGTATCTTCCTTTACCGCTTCCCCGATAATGAAACCCCTATTGTCAACTGCTGGTACACCACGAAAATGGCCAATGCTAGGTGGGCTATGTGGACGGCGCCGATTAGGTTTGTATCCTAAAGGCCTATCGATATCCCTAGTATCCTCCGTGTTTATTATCCATCTGTCCCTCAAGCATAAAATCAATACGGCANTCTTAACATCAATACGATAGGGGAGGCTTGGTACTCAAACATCTCTTCAAATCTCTCTAGAAATTGCCTCCAATATGGGCTAAGTGTTCTACGGAGATGATAGACAATCTCATCTCTATGAAGTTCATGTCCATTCCTCCCCGCCCCCTGATGATTCGTTCTATGGCGTCTAAAAGCTCCAACAGGTTGTGGTTTGGATTCGTCGCATATTTCCTATGCAACCTCATGAACATTTTACGTCTGCGGGCCTGGTCTCTAGCCGATTGCGTGCGTCTATTAACCATCTAGAAAAATAAATTTTATAATCACTTAACTATTCAATTTAAACCAATAGTTAACCATATCGTTTCATGACTACACACGGAACATAAATCATAATGGCATTTCCTTGCTGAAGGATTTTCATTTAACGAAAAGTTCATATATAAATAAGCACACTTCTTATAAATAAATCAAGTTCTAATTTACTTAGTTGCAATTTAATACATATTTGTCCACATAATCGTTAATTGACTTATAATCCTTCATAAAATTGCAAACATTAAAAAAAAAAAAAATTAAGCATGATCATAACATAGTCGTCATCATATGAAATGTAATTTGTATATATTTCTACCTGATTTAGGAGCATCGG